GCCCAGGAGACATCAAGGCAAGTGGTTGGGTCCTCTCAGTGCAAACCACCTTGCGAGACTAAGACTCAATGGGAATACACGCTCTGATTGATGACCATGCTCATCACCAATAAGGGGAAGTGAGGGAAAAACAGCAATGAAGTGGTGAGCTAAGCCCTACAACGTTCAATAGACTCCTGTGAACCCGGGTGGAGACCTGGATGTCCAGCAGTGTGGCAACACCTGTGGACTCTTGGGCCCTGAGTCAGTGACATAGCCACAGAGGACTAGAGTGGAGAGTGAAGCATCCAGCTGATAAGAAGAGAGGGCATACGCACAAAACACCCATACATGCAGATAATACCCACTTGACCTGGCTTCAATGACTGGATGATCAGAGCTCAACCAGAGGAAGATAGAAAAGGGGAAGAAAAAAAAAAAAAAGATTAATCAGATACAATTTGATGAACTTGACCTACACCTATGGATGCAGTAGCTCAAAAGAGGAAACAAATCCTTACAGCAAGGATCACTCCCACCCTCTCCACATACAGAGTAGACAGGGATGGGCAACTTGGACATTAGCTACCCAAAATGGGTGGGGGTGGGGGGCTACAAAGGCAAGAAGTGACTGGCTTACAAGCTTTCAAGAGGGAACCTAGATCCAGAGGGCCTGGAGGAAGGTAGAATCTCCAGTGAGTAGTATGCAATCTGTCTGGGCGGGGCTGATGCAATGAAATGCAGATGGGTCTCTTGTGATATAATAGTGAATAACTGTTATCAGGACTGACTGTGAAGGTTGGAAATGTAAAGGTAGATAGATGTTTTATAGCAAGGAGGGGAGTGATTAACATTTCAGTCTAGGAGCGGAGATCCAAGGGACCATCAATGGAGAAGAGCAGAGAGCGAGATCTTACCCAGAGAAGCAGTGACGCCAGAGATGGAGATGATGATGTGGAGCGATGGAGCAGCTGGGGACTTTAGATCCAGAGAGGGAAAGGGACTGTGTACTGACAACCAGGGGGCAGGCTTGTAGTGTATACCCTTTGGTTGGTTGATGATGCATTGACGGGATTGTAACCATGGCAATTAAACGATATATGAGAGAATGAATGTAAAACTAATGTTCTCCCGTGTAAACTATCACATAATTCACAATAAAACATTTTAAAAAAATAAAATAAAATTTACAGTAAGCAGACGTACTGGATCAACCCTCTGCAACAAAGACATGAGAGGCCAAATGAAAACAAATACAGATAATGATACTGGAATCCTGAGCATCAGAGGATCAGACAGAGAGGTGGACTGAGTGCTGACTGGAGAGGAAGGTGAACAGGAATGAGAGATTAGAAGAACAGGTGGACTGTGGGTTGGCATGGCACTGAATAGGCATATTGAGCTTTTGCGAGGGGCTACTAGTATAGCAACCTGCAGACATAGAACTTAGCTGAAAATTGGTGGCAAGGGAGAAAGCAATTATTCCTGGTTGTTGTGCCATTCTAACACTGGAAGCATGGTCTGTCCTTGTCTTCACCAATTCAGTGGCCCGTGACACCCTCTCCTGCACATCACTTGCTCTGCCTGGCGTAGTGTACCTGGCATAGCATACTGCTTCTGCAGACATGTGATTCCACCCTGAACTACACTACACACAGAGAACTGTGTTCATACTTCCAATCTGTACCATACCCACCAGAAGACAGGTGGTGAGTGACAATATACCAATATACAACTATCAACTAAATATAAATGACATCATAATTTCTGGAAAACAAACAATTTCAGCTTACACAAAGTAACAACATAGAGTTCCTTAAACAAGTGACCAAAATACAGAGTCAGAAACTATAACACAGGAATAGTATCAGAACTACTTAATAAGGAATTTAAAATAATAGTACGTAGAAAACTTCAATGGATTGTGAGATAGATCAAGAAAAACACAGGGAAAACTCAGGAAACAAACTGAAAAAATAACTGAAAAATGGGAACCATATAAAAATAGCAATTAGAAAGCCAGACGACTAACACTAAGACTTCAGAAATACACTGAAAGGGCAAAGAAATAGAATTAATCAGTATAAAGCTGAATTACTAAACTTGCAGAAAAATCTCTCAATATATATTTACTAGAGAAATGTTCAGAAGAAAGAAAATCCAAAGAAAGCCTAAGATATATGTGGGACACTATCAAGAGGAATAACTTACATGTGATAGGAATTCCTGAACAGGAAGAGACCAAAAAAAAAAAAAAAAATCCAGAGAATATTGTCCAAGAATTGTTGAAAGAAAACTTCCCTAACATCATGAAAGAAAGATGTTCAACCAAATAATTGAATGAACTCCAAACAGGATAGACTCTGAAAGAAAAACACCAAGACATATTATAATTAAGCTTTTCAAAGCAATAACAAGAAAAGAATTCTGACAACAGCTCAGAAAAAAATGAAAAGTTACCTTCAAAGGAGAACTAGTAAGACTAAACTCTAGTTTCTCAGAAGAAACCTAATTTCTTAGCAAAAACCATGTAATTATATATATGAAATTCTGAAAGAAACCAAGAATCATATATACAGCAAAACTGTCCATCAAATACAATGACAAAATTAGGTCATTTTTATATTATTATTGTTGTTAAGTGTCGCTGAGTTGGTTCCGACTCATAGCAACCCTATATAGGGTTTCTGAGGAGCAGATGGTAAATTTGAACCAACTTTGCAGTTCAAATCAACCTTGTGGTCCAGTGCATTATCCATTGGATCACACCAGGACATATACATATACATACACACAAATATATACACACACACACTTGGAGTCCTGGTGTGGTCCAGTAGGATAAGTACTGGACCACAAGGTTGACAGTTCAAAGCCACCAGCCACTCTACAGAAACCCTATACAGAGTTGTTATATGTTGGAACCAACTCAATGTTGTTCATTACTTAACAACAACCACAACATACATATACTTCATTACTAATAAAATAGAAAACCACAAGAAAATTGATCATGGAAAAGAAAAACTACCACAACAAAATTAGAACTGGAAAAGGAAAATTAATTTATAGAGAAAATACAGAAATTTAAAAATATATACAAAACTGTATTACATATGGTACATGGACACAACCATATGCAGTTGACATATATATAATAAAAGACATACATTAACTGTTCGTGTAGTTGTTCTATGCAGAGATGGAGGCAAATAGTACTGGAAGGGGATTGCAACTGCAGGCGAGGACTTCAAAAACACTTCCATTATCTTTCTAGTTCTAAGAAAACTTCCATTATCTTTCTAATCTATTTTTTCATGAACAAACTCTTATATTCTGTATTTTATTAAAGAAAGGAGAAAAATGTTAGTATTTGGCTTGTGCCTATCAGTGGGCCCAAAAATCTGAATTTTGAAATAAATATATTTCCAGTGCTTTTCCTACAGATTACTCACAGATCACACATTTAAAAAAGTAGTTATAACATTGAAAAGCAATACAGATGGGTGCATTTAAGTTATTTTTCTCTCTCAGTGGTCAGGGCAGTGACTTCGATAAGTGATTTAAACTATACTCCCAAATTTTTGCATCTTTAAAATAAGAATATTACAACTATCTCACACAATTAAATAATATACCAATGTAGTGCTACTCATCATATGATAAGATTCAAAATGTTATTTAAGTAACTTTAAAACCCAAATTCAATTTACCCACTACTTAGTGATTCCTCTTCCTTGGTGAACCGATTTTTCAAACTTTTCCATTTCATAGCTAATATGGTTGCTATGACAAGAATGGGTAAAGAAATGTAGGCACCTAGAAGCCACCAGTTCTTTTCAGTTCTCCCAAAAGCTCTTTCCATTATTGCACCTAAAAATGAATATACATTAAATAGTCTTAAAAAATAAAAGTTACACTTTAAATTTGTAGCAAATTAAGTATAATGTTCTTAATTTTAGTTACTACGTGGGAAAACAATAGTAAAATCATAATATTTGAGACTATTCACCTAACCTCTCCCCTAAAAGCATGGAAACAAAGGTATAGATAAGTCATTTAATTTGCCCAGAGTACTCTATATTTTAAGGAGCTCTGGTAGCGTAGTGGTTACGAGTTAGGCTGCTAACCTCAAGGTCAGCAGTTGAAAACTACCAGCTGTTCTGTGAAAGAAAGATGAGGCTTTCTGCTTCCATAAAGATTTATAGCCTCAGAAACCCTATACAGGGTCGCTATGAGTCAGAACCAACTCCACAGCACCACCACCACTCTATATTTTGGAGTCTTGGTGTGATGCTATAGGATAAGCACTCAATTGCAAGGTCAGTTTGAACTGCACAAGTGGCAATTCAAACTAACCAGCTGCTCTTTGGAAACCCTATACAAGGTTGCTATGACTTGGAACCGACTGGACAACACTTAACAAGAATACTCTATAGTTTACAACAGACACAGCAAAAACTAACTATAATGCTGTAAATGAAGTAAAAAAAATTCAATGATACATAATCATGTAATATACAGGGTCGCTATGAGTTGAAGGGAGTCCTGGTATGGCACTGTGGGTTAATGTGCTAAACTGTAAAGTCAGTTTCAGTTGCAAGGTCAGTGGTTCAAGCTCACTAGTTGCTCCTTGTAAATTCTATATAAGGTCACTATGGTTTGAAACAGACTAAATGGCAGTTAACAACAACAAAATATGAGTGGAAACCAACTTGACAGCACTTAACAACAACAATTACAGGATTATAAAAATTTGCATTGTTACAAGGCACATTAACATTATCATAGAATTTCACTTTTTTTATATATATAGAAGAGGGAACAAAGGTTCATGGAATAGACAGGGCTGTAGGGGGAACAGTAACACTAGGGAGGTAGCACATCTTAGAATAATCAAATATCTGAGATCAAAAGGGCAGCATTTACCCAAGAACAAAGTTCAAAAGAGTCAGGAAAGAAGGAAGAGTGGAAGCAGGAAACACAGGGAGGAAGTGGTGTAAATAATTTTACATTGTGGGGATTGCAATCAATAACATGAAAAAAACGTGTACAGATTGTTGAATGGAAAACTAGTATGCTCTGTAAACCCTCTCCTAATGCACAACTGTTGTTGCTGTTTAGTGCCATCAAGTTGGCTCCAACTCTCAGTGAACCTACATAGGGCTTCCAAGGCTGTAAATCTGTGAGAGAAGAAGCCTCATCTCTCTCCTACTCTCTCCTAGAAATGACTGGTGGGGGCTCAAATCTCTGAATTTTTGGTTAGCAGTCCAGTGCCATTGCACTACTCCAATTCACAATAAAAAGTTATATATATATATATATATATAACTGGTGTGGCACTGTGCATCAGACTGAAAAGTCATTTGAACTGCAAGGTTGCTGGTTCAAGCTCACCAGCTGCTCCTTGGAAACCCTCACAGGGTTGCTATGGGTCAGAATCAACTCGATGGCACTTCACAACTATATATATATATTTAAATTCATGCATAAATTCTATTACCTTTTAATTCAACTTTTCCATAAACTTTTTTAAGTCCCTCATATATGCTGGCTAGTATTGGGTTGTGATATTCTTACATTGCAGTTGCTGTTAGGTACTATGGAGTTTGTTCCCACTCATATCGACCCTGTGCCCAACAGAATCACACACTGCTCGGTCCTATGTCATCCTCCCAATTGTTACATTTAAATCCACTGCTGCTGAGACTGTGCCAATCCACCTCATTTGTGGTCTTCCTCTCTTTCACTAATCCTCCACTTTACCAAGAATGATGTCCTCCCAGGGACTGGTCCTTCCTGATTACATGATCGAAGTATGAGAGATAAGCATTGTCATTCTGACTTCTAAGAAGCACTCTTCCAAGACAAAGATTTTCGTTCTTCTGGCAGTTGTTGTTGTTGTTGCTGCTGAGGCACTTCAACTCATAGAACCTGTACAGGGTGTCCAAGGAGCGACTTGTGAGTTTGAACTGTCAACCTTGTGGTTAGCAGTCTAGTGTACAGCATCATACTAGAACTTTTCCACACAGATCTGTTTGTTTTTCTGGCAGTCGATTCTAGTTTCAAAATTCTTCTCCAAAACCATAACTCAAATGCATCAATTATTCTATATCAGAGATCTATTTTTATACATGGAATGCATTGTAATGCATTTAAAAGGGTGTTGTTATTTTTTGTTAAGTGCCGTGGAGTGGGTTCCGACTCATAGTGACCCTGTACAGGGTTTCAGAGGCTGTAAATCTTTACGGGTGTAGAGAGCCTCATCTTTCTCCTGTGGAACAGCTGGTAGTTTCGAACTGCTGACCTTGCAGTTCACAGCCCAATTTGTAACCACTATGCTACCAGAGCCCCTTATTTTAAAAGGGTTGTTGTTGTTGTTGTTAAGTGTCGTTGAGTCGGTTCCTACCCATAGCGACCCTGTACAGGGGTTTCCGAGGGTGTAAATCTTTATGGAAGTAGAAAGCCTTATCTTTCTCCTGCGGAGCAGCTGGTAGTTTCAAACTGCTGACCTTAAGGTTTGCAGCCCGATTCGTAACCACTACGCTACCAGAGCTCCTTATTTTTAAAAGGTACTGGCATAAAAATCAAGGGGTCCTGGTGGCAGTGGTTAAAGCACTCAGCTGCAAAACAAAAAGTTATCAGTGTAAACTCACCAGTGGGAGAAAGATGTGAGTCAGCTTCCATAAAGATTTATAGACTTGGAAACACTATGGGGGAAGTTCTACTTTGCCTGAGTTGCTATGAGTTGCTATGAGTCAAAACTGACTTGGTGGCAGTGCATTTTGGTGTGGCATAAAAGTCAGGAGCCTTGATTCTAATGCTAACTATGCTGCTACTTGTTAACATTTGGGTTATTATTATTGTTCGGTGCCATGGAGTTGATTCTGACCCATAGCAACCCTATGCCTATGTTCAAGGAAGAAGTATGTACTGAAGGAAGACTGAATAAGTATGGTGAAAGAGTACAATCCTGGCACACACCTTTCCTGATTTTGAATCATTTAAATTTTTCAACATAGACCAAGGGGCAGTTCAAACAACTGCCCCTTGGTCTATGTACAAGTTCCTCATGAGCACAAGTAAGTGTTCCAGAACCTATTCTCTGCAATGTGGTCCATAGGTTGTCATGATCCACATAGTTGAAAGCCTTTGCATCTTTCTGGTACTCTCTGCTTTTAACCAAGAACCATCTGACATCAGCTATGACATAACTTCTTCCATGCCCTAGTCTGAATCCAGCTTGAACCTCTAGCAGTTCCCTGTCAATGTAATGTTGAAACCAATTTTTAATTATCTTTGAATAAAATTTCACTTGCATATCATACTGATGATATTGTCTGATGATTCCCCCATTCCTTCGGATCACCTCTCTTTGGATGGGGCACGAATATAGATCTCTGTTAATCAGTTGGCCAGGCAGCTGTCATCAAAATTTCTTAGTATAGTTGAGTGTCTCCAGTGCTGTCTCAGTTTGTTGAAGATTTCTATTTGCATTGCATCAATACCCAGAGCCTTGTTGTCAATGCTTTCAGTGCAGCTTGGACTCCTTCCTTGAACATACACTACCTATTAAAATGATTGAACATCATCCTTTTTTTTTTTTTTTTTTGTACAATGACTTTGTGCATTATTTCCATCTTTTTTTTTTTTATGCTTTCTACATCATTCATTATTTTTCTTAAAGAATCCTTCAGTATTTCAAGTCAAGGCTTGAATTTTTTCCTCAGTTCTTTAAACTTGAAAAATGCTGAGCGTGTTCTTCTCTTTAGGTTTTCTAACTCCAGATTTTGGCATATTCTATTATTATATATAAGGAGCTCTGGTAGTGTAGTGGTTACAAATTGGGCTACGAACAAGGTCAGCAGTTCAAAACTACCCAGCTGTTCCGCGGGAGAAAGATGAGGCTTTCTGCTCCCGTAAAGATTTACAGCCTCAGAAACCCTGTACAGGTTCGCTATGAGTCGGAACCGACTCCACGGCACATAACAACAACAACAACATAATTATATATAGTTGACTTTGTCTTCTCAAGCTGCACTTTGGAATTTTCTATTCAGCTCTTTTATCTCATTTCTTATATTTGCTTTAGTATCTCTACACTGTATTGCAAGTTTCAGTCTCTTTTGACATCCATTTTGGTGTGTTTTTTTCTGTCTTTCTTGAATTCTTAATGCTCTTCTGCTTTCTTCCTGTATAATGTTCTTGATGTCATCCCACAACTCTTATGGCCTTTGTTCTAATGCATCAATTCTACTCTTCAGATGATCTCTAAATTCAGGTGGGATCACGTTGAAGGTCATATTTTGGCTCTTGTAGACTTGTTTTAATATTCTTCAGCTTCAGCCTGCACTTGCATATGATGGTGTGTTCCACAGTATGTACCCAGCCTTGTTTTGGCTGATGGTATGGAGCTTTCCACCATTTTGTTTCACAGATTCAGTCAATTTTATTTCTGTACATTCCATCTGGTGAAGTCCATGTGTATAACCATCTTTTGTGTTGCTTAAAAGAGGTATTTTCACTGAAGAAGTCATTGATCTTGCAACATTCTATCATGCAATCTTCAGCATCATTTCTATCACCAAGGCCATGTTTTCCAACTATTGATCCTTCCTTTCTTCCCCAAATTTTGCATTCCAATCACCAGAAATTATCAATACATCTTGATTGCATGTTTTATCAATAACAGACTGAAGAATTTGGTAGAATTCTTCAGTTTCATCATCACTGGCTTTAGTAGTTGGTGAATAAATTTTAATAGTGGTATATATTGGTCTTCCTTGTAGGTGTATAGATATTGACTTATCACAGATAGCATTATACTTCAAGATAGATCTTGAAATGTTCTTTTTGATAATGAATATGATGCCAATCTCTTCAAATTGTCATTTCTATTACAGTAAGCCACATGACGACTATCAGATACAAAATGGCCAATACCAGTCCATTTCAACTAATATCTAGCATATCAATGCATATGCATTCTTCATTTTTGACACCTCCAATTTTCCTAGATTCATACTTCATAAATTCCATGTTCCAATTATTAATGGATGTTTGTAGCTCTTTCTTCTCAATTTGCGTTGGGCCCCATCAGGAAATAAAGGTCCTGAAAGCTTTGCTCCATTTGTGTCATCATGGTCAATTCTACTTTGAGGAGGCAGGTCTTTCCGAGTCGCATTTGCAATCTGAGGACTCATCTTCTGGCACTATATCTGACAATATTCTGGTGCTCATCATTAAGTTACAATATTCAATATTCTGGTACTATCTTACAATATTTAACTACTATTCATAACGTTTTCAGTGACTAAACATTAGGCAGTAGTCCTCGTCTCCTTCTTTCAAGTCTAGCTTAATTGGAAGTTCAGCTGAAATCTATCCACCACAGATGTGGCCCCACCAACATTTAAAATACTAGTATTTAGCATAGCTTCCAGCATCACAACAACAGGCAAGCCACCATTGTGCAACAAACTGACATACAAGTGGTAGAATATTTGTTTATATAGATCTAAAACATATCTTGAAGCCCCAAGAGTTAAGAAGGAAGGGACTTTGTTTGACTAACTGCATTTGACTGGTGCAAACAGTTATCCTGTGGGACTGGTAACCAGAAACTTGGATGTTGAGTCCATCCAGAAGTGCGCCAGAAAATTCTACTTTGAAAAATTAGACATTAAAGCCATACAGAGGATAGTTCTACTTTGACAAACTTGAGATCCCCATTAGTTATGATCAATTTGACAGTGCCTAGATAAACTATTAATATATGCACTAGATCAGGCACATATTAATAGGTCAGTGTGTTTGTCATACTATACTGGTCTCTATGTTGCTGTGATGCTGGAAGCTATTCCACCAGTATTTTAAAAACCAGCAGGGTCATTCATGGTGGACAGGTTACAGTGTAGCTTCCAGACTAAGACAGATTCAGAAAAATAGGAGAACAACTCCTAAAGGGATTGTTGTTGTTTTTGATAAGTGCCATCGACTTAATCAATGCAAACCCATAACGATCCTGTATAGGGTTTCCGAGGAGCAGCTGACAAGCTTCAACCACTGACCCTGAAGTTCAAACCGACTTTGCAGTCTAGCTCATTAGCTCACACCAGGACTAAAGGGATAACCCGTGAAAACTTTATGAATAGCAGCATTGTCTGATATAGTGCTGAAAAATGAGCCCCTCAGATTGGAATGCCTCAAAATATGACTGAGAAGAGCTATGTCCTCAACATATAGTTGACTTTCATGATGTGGCTGGAACAAAGCTTTGAGACCTTCATTTGCTACAGTGGCACAACTCAAAATGTGAAGAAACAGCTGCAAACTTCCATTAATCAATCATCAGAATGGGAATGTAAAAGGTATGAATCTAGAAACCTTGGAAGTCATCAATAATGAAATGAAGTGCATAAAGATCAATATCTTAGGCATTTGTTAGCTGAAATGGACCGAGCTAAACTTGACTGTTTTGAGTCTGACAATCATAGATTTACTATGCCTAGAATGACAAACTGAAGAATAATGGCATTGCATTCATCATCCAAAAGAAAATTTCAAGATTATGACAGGATATCCTTACACCTACAAAGACCAGTTAATAACACTATTATTCAAATGTATGTAGCAACCACTAAAGCCAATAATGAAGAAAATGAAAATTTTACTAACTTATTCAATCTAAAATTGATCAAACATGTAATCAAGATGCATGGATCACTACTGGTAGCTAAAGATTATGGCTGTGGTGATAGAAATGATGCTGGAGATCACATGATATAATTTTGTAAAACCAGAAACTTATTAATTACAAGTAACTTTTATCAAAAGCATCAATACCAGAAGAGCCCTAATATGGTGCTGTAGGATAAGTACCGGACTGGTGACCACAGAATCAATAGTTCAAACCCATTAGACACTCTCAGGAACCCAATGCTAGGTTGCTATAACTCAGAATCAACTTCATGGCACACCACAACATGTAGACCACACCAGATGGAACACACAGTAATCAAATTGACTACATCTATGAGAAAAAAAATGGAGAAATTCAATATCATCACCTGAAATAAGGCCACAAGTCAACTGTATCAAGTGCTCATATTCATACTCAGACTTAAGATGAAGGAAATTCCAAAGTCCATGAGAGCCAAAATATGACCTTGAAAATATACCTCTTGAATCTTGAGATCATCTCAAGAACAGACTTGATGCATTAAACACAAATGACTGAAGACTTGAGGAACTGTGGGATGACATCAAAAAAATCATACATGAAGATATATCAAATGGTCATTAAAATGGAAGAAATAAAAGACCAAAGTGGATGTCAGAAGCAACTCTGAAACTTTCTTTTGAATGTAGAGAAGCTAAAGTAACTGAGAGAAATAATGAAGAAAATGAGCTGAACAAAAAATTTCAAAGGGCAGGTTGGGAAGACAAAGTATTATAATGAAACGTGCAAAGACCTGGAGTCAGAAAACCAAAAGGGAAGAATATGCTAAACATTTTATTAAGCTGAAAGAACTGGAGAAGAAATTTAAGGGTCAGCTTTTAGTATGAAGGGTTCTATAAACAAAATATTGAATGACTTAGAATGCATCAAAAGAAGATGGAAAGAGTAAACAGAGTCACTGTACCAAAAATAATTGGTCGATGTTCGACCATTTCAAGAAGTGCTATATGATCAAGAATCGACAGTACTGAAGGAAGAAGTTCAAGCTACACTGAAAGCATTGGTGAAAAACAAGTCCCCAAGAATTGCAAGAATACAAATTTAAATGTTTCCAAAACTTAATGCAGCATTGGAGGTGCTCACTAGACTATGCCAAGAAATTTGAAAGACAGCTACATGGTCAACTGATTGTTAAGAGATTCATACTTGTGCCCATTCTAAAGAAAGGTGACCCAACAGAATACATAAATTACTGAACAAAATAATTAATATCACATTCTAGCAAAATGTTGCTGGAGATAATTAAAAACAATTGCAACAGTACATCAACTAGGAGCTGCCAGAAATTCAAGTCAGATTCAGAAGAGGATGTGTGGAATGAGGGATATCATTGCTGATATCAAATCAATCTTGGCTGAAAGCAAAGAATATCAGAAAGATATTTACTTGATTTACTGACTAGGCAAAGCCATAGTTGTGTTGATCATAAAAAATTGTGGATACATTGAGAATGGGTATTCCAGAACACTTCACATGCTCACGAGTAACCCATACATAGATCAAGAAGCAGCCATTCAAACAGAACAAGGTGATACTGAACAGTTTAAAATCAGAAAAAGTGTATGCCAGGGTTGTATGCTTTCACCGTACTTATTCAATCTTATGCTGAGCAAATAATCCAAAAAGCTGTATTAAATGTGGAAGAATGTGGCATCAGGATTGAAGGAAGACTAGCAATCTGACATAAAGATGGCACAAACTTGCTTGCTGTAAATGAAGAGAATTTGAAGTGGTTAGCAATGAAGATCAAAGAATACAGACTTTGGTAGCAGCAGAGATGTCTGTTTGATGACTAAGCTACACCTGAATTAAGCCATGGTATTTTCAATCACCCCATATGTATATGAAAGCTAGACAACGTATAAGGAAAACCATAGAAGAATCAATACATTAGAACTATGGTATTGGCAAAAGATTATTGAAAGTACCATGGACTGCTTGAAGAACTAATAAATCTGTCTTGGAAGAACTACAGCCAGAATGCAACTTGGAAGTAAGGATGGTGAGAGTCTGTCTTTTGCACTTTGGGCATGATGTTAGGAGTGACCAGACCCTACAGAAGGACATCATGCTTGGTAAAGTGAAGGGTCAGAAAAAAAGAGGAAGACTTCCAAGGAGACAGATTGACACAGTGGTTCCAACAATGGTCTCAAACATGACAACAATTGTGAGGATGGTGAAGGGGCAGGCAGTGTTTGTTGTTGTTGTTGTTGTGAAAAGGGTCACTATGAGTCAGAACCAACTCAATGGCACCTAACAGGAACAAGAAACAATCCGTGCGTGAATGTCAGGACCTAAACTCATCGTGAACACACAGAATATGTTGCCTGCATCCTTTTTGTCATCTGCTTAGCAGCAAATTATATTGATTTTTCTCATTTAAACTGTAAACTCCTTCAGAGTAAAAAGCTTGTCTTCTATTTTCTTTGTGTTTTCTTGCATCAGAAACTTAGTTACAAGTCTAGACACCAGGTAGACGCTCAGTACATTTTTATGTAGAACAGAGGTCACAGGATTAGTCAAAACAGGGAGAAAAGGTAGGAAAATACATTAAAAGAGAAAATAACTGATATCAGAAATGAGAAATTATAAAAAGTACTCTTACGTTCAATCACATCTGAGTAGTTAGAGTGGAAAAGGAAACAAGATAAAACAATATATTCAGTTTCCATTCTTTGAGAGACAGCTGATTACCTTTTAATTGCAAATATCAGTCTCTTTTGAAGCAGAAAAAAATTTCAGTTTCTTTTAGTAAAGATAAGCAACTTGAGAAGTTTATTAAGTGGACACAAAAAGAAATGCAAACTTGCCCTGTTTCCCAGGCAACCAAGCAGATCCTCTGGAACGTGTTAGGCAATCTGGAGGATTGAAGCCCTCAAAACAATGGCACTTCTGTTGGGAATTGCACACCTAGGGTAAGTTTTTAAAAGTTCAATGATCATTTAAAACATTTTTTTCACAGAAAGTCAAACTATCAAAGGAAAGCAAACTTACTTTTACAAACTTACCTATTTTAAATTTGCTTACGTTACTTACTTGGAAGGTAAACCTACAAATCAAATGTTTGGTTTCTTAGGCTAAAAAAGGAAAAGAAACAACAACAACAACATCTAAACCTAAGCTGTACAGTAAGGCTCACAACGTTTGCATCAAGAAAATTTAACACCTTCGGGTATTTACTTACAAATTTAGTGTGCAATTTCCAAAACATATTCTTAAATTCTAATGAAAAAGAATGAGCCCCTTCCAGTAGTGTGCTGGAGTCAGCCAGCACTCATTTATGGAGTGACTCGTGCACATCTCTTACCATTTCTACAGTCTGTGACACCAGGTTGGCAGTTTGGGGTATCTATATAAATTAAGACTTCATTCTCCTCCATGTTACTGTATGTGTAAATGAGCATATGCATTTACACATACAGCAACATGCATTTTATCCCTAAATATATCACAGAAGTGATGTCCTTCTCAGGAGCCACAGGATGCCATGTGTCCAAACATGTTTTGTAACTTTGGAGTACTTGGTTAAGGTGTTGTCTTCCAAGTTTTTTTCCAATGTAAATAATCAGTTTGTGGGGAGATACTTCTGAGATTATGAAAATATCTTGGTCCTTTGAAAACTTTTACCCACTAGTTTAAGCATTTACTGCTAATCATTTAACACTATCATTCCTTCAATATTAGTATTATAATTAAATGCTCCCCTTACTTCCTATTTATTATTGTCAGAAATATAGCAACTAATAGTGCCACAAATACTATTTATTACTTTTATTTATATATTAATATATTTATTATTTATTAAAATAAAATATTGCATATTTTATTTCATTCAATCTAACACAAACCAAACACATTAATATTATTATTTATGCTGATACCTAAATTGGACAAATTTTGATTGTCAAATGTGAAGAATATAATATAGTAAGCATGTAATATATCTATACATGATTAAATGAACTCAGAATAAACAAAGGAGTAAATAAAATAAATATGGTGGATTGTTAGCATGAGCTGGGGGCATGTGAGGCTAATGTAGGGTAAACTAAAGTGAAAGGAAAGCTGAAATACAAGAAGACGGTATCCAAAAGATGTATAATGTGCTAACTTTGGTGTCATTATGTAGATAATCATCTTGTTGTTGTTGTTAAGTGCTATCAAGTTGGTTCCAACTAATAGCAACCCAGTGTAGGGACTCAAATTCTGCTCCTTTTAAATTTGAGTTGACAAAAAGAAGTCTGAAGAGGCAATTTTAAGGATGTAGGGTGGATGGGGCAAAGTTTCCCAAAGAAATTATCACAGGACAGCCCTGGGTATCCTTGAAGAATGAACAGGCAGATTGTCATATATGAACTGAAACCTAGTAGCAATGATTTTTTAATTACCCTCCTGATGTGTATGTGTGTGTGTATTCTACATATATACACACACTGAAAAACATTTCAAGAGTTAAACTAACAATAAGCAAATAGGTAGGTGTTTGGTTGATGACATAGTAATGTAAAGTCAATCATTTTATACCAAGCTAACCTTATCCATTTATTTACTCCTTTGGAAGTTTTCAATTTGTGACCACTCAAAGCAAGTTTGACAGATTTTTTTTTTTTTTTTTTGATGCTTTATACTTGTATTTGAATGAAACAACTTTGACTCACTGATTATATACCACAATCTTTACTTTTTCTTTTCTCATTCTACTCTTCAAAATCTTATATAATTTTGGTTTTAAATCACTGTATGAAAGGCAATGTATATAAAGCTAATTTGAAGAATTTTCTGAAGTTTTAAAGTCTAATTTTCATTTTGTCTTCACAAAAACATTTAAATGAATTTTCACTTTCTCTCACCCCAGTTCTCAAGCAGTAGCAGCAGAAACCCCCAAAACTTGTTTAATTCATTATAAAAAGTACAAAAGAATGCCAGCCACTTTTCATGAATCCATGTGTTATCAGGCACAAGCATTGTACCATAAATTTCTTTGAGAAAAGGTTAATGTATCTACTGGAAAATTTAATACCTTCTGAAAAGTATCCACCTATAACAGTATACAGTTTAGAACATCAGCATTTTAATTGTAATCAAATTATTCTCTAAAACTAATTATGGCTACTATATTAAGCAACCCAATTCAGCTCCAACTAGACCTGGCTTGTAATTAGAACTCAATAAGTGTTGAATAAATTAATGAATGGTGTAGCTAGTGTCCAAGATACAAGTGATTAGTGAAAACATGTAAATCATGTACTTTCTTACTCCATTTCCATTGCATTTTTGTGAACAAGTTTTTGATTCATTCTCAAGTATTCTCGACTCTACACAGTGACCATTGACACAAACCTAAAGAAAAACACATACAAAAAAACTCTGTCAGAGTTGTTCCAGCCATGACTATAATCAGTAATTGTATCACAAAATCATAACCAAAGAATCACTTTTTATTATAATCACTGAAACTAACAAAACTATTTCTGAGAGCACTGTTAAAAGAACACCTTGTATTTACTATATATATATATATATATATATCATCAAAATTTTGTATAACAGAGAAAATCAAGTCTATAAAACACAGTATATATTATGTTTTCCTGAAATATGAGCTATTATAAAAGTAATGGAAACTTTTATTCAAATATACTGGTGATATATACTATTCTATTATGAAATATACTAAAAATCTCAATGTAATTTTTTAAATTATAGTAATAAAAGGACTAAGGATATGTTCACAACACCATTATTTATAATAATCTCAATTTTGCTTATTTGAAGTTTTCTTATACAAGCAAAATAATAACTTTTCTACAACATTTGAGATTTGTTGTGAGGATAAATGAGATAATAGATTTATGAGAATTATATTCTTTCAGATCACAAAGAACAACACAATACTCTCCAAAGAAATTACCTTACAAACCCTTTGTAGATTCAAACAATCCAGCCCTTTTAAACCTTTTATTTGTTGAGTTTTCTCATTGGTTCATGGTCATGACGATATGTCTAATAATACCTTTTGGGATGTAGTATCTATTGGCTACCTGCCTCAAATAAAACTGAGATAGAGTTCTATTTCTAAGTAAAGGATACCTGGTGGTACAGTGGTTAAGTTGCTAACCAAGAGGTCCAGCATTTATCAGTCACTCCACAAGAAAAAGATGTAACCCTTTGCGTCCATGAAGATTGATATCCGTGGAAACCCTGTGAGGCGATTATACTCTCTCCTACAAAGATGCTATGAGTTGGAATCCACTTGATAGTAACATATTTGATTTATAAAAGTATAATAACTTACAGAAATAAAATTTTGAAGAATGATTCAGCATAATTTATATTTGAATCAATAACAACTATCTAGTAAAATTTACTTTCACACATATCTCTGAGAAGAAAAGCCTATGTTACTCATACTATATTGCTCACTAAGCAATATCAAACTATCTATTGGCTATTTTTTGTTTTGTTTTGATTCCATGGTGTAAGAGATCTGCTGAACTATACGCCTTCCAAGAGGCATTTATGACATGTAGACATGAAGAGGAAACTATTATTAATGAGCTTATTACATATATTATATCAGTACCTTCATTAAAATTTATGAAACCACCAGATTAAAACTATAAAACCAAACAAAAGTTAGGTATCATTGAATCAATATTAAATCATGGCAATCTGATGCATACAGAGTAGATCTTTCTTCTGAGTTGCCTCCGGTGGTTTCCAAATGCCAACTATTCAGTTATTAGCAGTCCAACGCTTATCTATTTGTACCACCCAGGAAGTACCTAATCAGATATACATATATGTGTGTGTGTCTATATGTTGTTGTTGTTGTTAGGTGCCAACAAGTCAGTAGTGACTCATAGAAACCCTATGCACAACAGAACAAAACACTGCCTGGTCCTGGGCCAACCTCACAAACATTGCTACGCTTGAGCCCACTGATGCTCCCACTTTGCCAATCCATCTCGCTGGGGGTCTTCCTCTTTTTCTCTGACCCTCCACCTTACCTAACATGATATCCTTCTCCAATGACTGGTCCCTCCTGATATGTCCAAAGTATGAGAGACAGAGTGCAGCCATCCTGGCTTCCAAGGAGTGAGTATTCTGGCTGTATTTCTTCCAACATAGATTGGTTTGTTATTTTGGTAATATTTTTAATATTCTCCTCCAACACTTTAACTCAAATGCATCAACTCTTGTACTGTCTTACTTATTCACTGTCCAACTTTCATATGCCTAGGAGGTTATTGAAAATACCATGGCTTGGGTAAGGTATGCCTAAGTCCTCAAACTGACATCTTTGCTCTTAAACACTTTAAAGAGGTCTTGTGCAGCAGATTTGCCTAATGCAACATGTCATTTGGTTTCTTGACTACTGCTCCCATGTGTGTTGATGGTTGACTGAACAAAATTAAGTCTTTGACAATGTCAATCTTTTCTCTACTTATGTGGATGTTGTTTACTGGTAACAATTGTGAGGATTTTTTTCTCTCTCTCTTTACATTGAGGTGCAACCAATACCGAAAACTGTGGTGTTCATTCTTCATCAGTAAGTATTTAAAGTCCTCTTCGCTTTCAGCAAGCAAGGTTGTATCATATGCATATCACAGGTTGTTAATTAGTCTTTCTTCAATCCTGATGCCACATTCTTCTTCATATAATCCAGCTTCTCAAATTATTTGCTCCGTATACAGATTGACCAAGTATGATGAAAGCATACAACCCTGGAATATGCCTTTCCTAATTTTAAACTATCCAGGATTCCCTTGGTCTATTCAAGCAATTGACTCTTGGTCTATGTATAGGTTCCTCATGAGCACAACTAAGTGTTCTGAAATACTCATTCCCTGCAATGTTGTCCATAGGTTGTCATGATCCATACAACTGAAAGCCTATGCCTTGTCAATAAAGCACAGGGAAATATCTTTCTGGTATTTATTGCTTTCAGCAAAAATCTATATGACATCAGCAAGGATATTCCTCATTCCAAGTCCTCTTCTGAATCCAGCTTGAATATTTAGACATTGTCTGTCAATGTATGGTAGCAGCATTTATAAATTATCTTTAGCAAAACTTTACTTGCATGTGATATCAATGAAATTGTCTAATGACTTCCACATTCCAGTGAGTCATGTCTCTTTGAAATGGGTATCTTCCAGTCACTTGACCTGGTAGCTATCTTCTAAATTTCTTGGCATAGATGAGAGAGTGCCTCCAGTACTACATCAGTTTGTTGAAATTTTTCTATTTGTATTACATTAGTTCCTGGAGACTTGTTCTTTGCCAATGCCTTCAATGTACCTTGGACGTCTTTCTTCAGTATCATTAGCTATTGATCATATGCTTCATATGCTACTCTCTTGAGATGGTTGAACATTGACCCTTTTCTTTTTTTTTTACAGACTCTGGGTATATCTTCCATCTTATGCCAATGCTTTCTGCATCATTCAATATTTTTGCCCAAGAATCCTTCAATATTGCTAGTCAAGGTTAGAATTGTTTCTTCAGTTTCCTCAGCTTGAGAAATGCTGAGCACGTTCTTCCCTTTTGCTTTTCTAACTCCAGGTTTTTGCACATTTCTTTATAATACTTGAATTTGTCTTTTGGAGCTATCCTTTGATATTTTCTACTCAGCTCTTTTACCTATTTATTTCTTTCATTTGTTTTAGCATCTCTATGTTTGAGAGCAAGTTTCAGAGTCACTTCTGACATTCATTTTGGTCTTCTCCTCCTTTATTTGTTTTCTTAGTGACCTTTTGTTTTCTTCCTGTATGATGCTCTTGATGTCATCCCACAACTCTTCTGGTCTTTGTTCTTTAGTGACTAATGCATCAAATCTTCAGATTATCTCTAAATTCAGGTGGGATTTGTTCAAGGTCATATTTTGGCTCTCATGAATTTGTTTTCATTTTCTTCATCTTCAGCCTTAACCTGCATATAAGAAATTGATCATTTGTTCCACAGTCTGCTGCTGGCCTTGTTTTGGCTGATAATATGGAACTTTTCCACTGTCTCTTTTCACAAATGTAGTATATTTGATTTCTGTGCATTCCATCTACTGAGGTCCATGTGTATAGTCATATTTTATGTTATTTAAAAAAATTATCTTCAATGAAAAGTTATTGGTCTTACAAAATTCTATCATCCAGCATCGTTTCTATCACTAAGGCCATATTAGCCAACTACTGAATCTTCTTTGTTTCCAACCTTTGCATTCCAATTACCAGTAATCATCAATACATCTGGATTGTATGTTTGATCAGTTTCAGACTAAAGAATTTGGTAGAATTCTTCAATGTCATCATCACTGGCTTTAGTGATCGGTGCATAAATTTGAATATTAGTGGTATTAACTTGTCTTTCTTGTTGTTGTTGTTGTTGTTGAGTGCCGTCAAGTCGGGTCCGACCCATAGCGACCCTGTACAGGGTTTCCGAGGGTGTAAATCTTTACAGGAGTAGAAAGCCTCATCTTTCTCCTGCGAAGCGGCTGGTAGTTTCGAACCGCTGACCTTAAGGTTCGCAGCCCAATTCGTAACCACTACGCTACCAGTAGGCATATGGATATTAGTCTATCAGAGACAATGTTGTACTTCAAGACAGATCTTGATATGTTCTCCCTGTTGAAGAATGTGACACCACTGCTCTTCAGTTTGCCATTCCCAGCAGAGTAAATCATGTGACTGTTGGATTCAAAATCACCAGTCCATTTCAGCTCCTAATGCCTAGGATATCGATGTTTATATATTCCATTACATTTTTTACTATTTCCAATTTTCACAGATTCTTAATTAGAACATTCCATGTTCCAATTATTAAAGGATGTTTACAGCTGTTTCTCTTCCCATTGAGTTGCTTCCCATCAGCAAATGAAGGTACAGAAGGGTTTACTCCAGTTGCATCATGGTCAACTGTACTTTAAGATAGAGGCAGCTCTTCCCAGGTCACATCATGAGTGCCTTCCAACTTGAGTGGTTCATCTTCCAACACTAAATCTGACCATATTTTGCTGCTATTCATCATGTTTCAATATTCAGTATTTTGGTGCTGACAGTCTTCCATCGCTATTCATAAGGTTTTCAGTGAATAAATATTCAGAAGTAGTCCTTCTCTTCTTCTTCCTAGTCTGTCTTCATCTGGAAGCTCAGGTGAAACCTGTCTACCTTAGGTGACACTGCTGGCATTCAAAATATCCATGACATAGCTTCCAGAATCAAGGCAACACACAAGCCACTACAGTATGACAAACTGACAGACAAGTGGTGGAGCCAAAGCATTTTTAGCACATTTTATGTGCTGGTTATTGTGCAAAGCACTATGTAATATTATCTCATTTAATCTCCACAATAACCTATAGAGTAAATATTAGTATCCCACTTACGTACAGCTCAGATAAGTGAGACTGTTTAGGTATCTTGCAAAGTGTCAAAAATAAGGTGAAAAGATTTTATTCTAAACATACTAATCAATTTTGTACTCTTACCCACTGGGATTCCTTCTTTCTTCTCAAAAACAAAAGGAGGTGATATATAGAGTATTCAACCACAATGGATTCCCAAATTCTCTCCCCTCCCCACTACAATACCTAAAAACTTGAGAGTTTCCCTGTTTACAGTGTTGAATCTCTGAAGGAGATCAATCATTCTCATTTGCTTCTTAATATCTGGAGAACAATTGAAGTTTATTCATTTTATCCTTCAAATATGTAAGGATATATAGCACTAGAAATGAATTAATATTTGAGAAATAAATTATTTGTTAAAACAACTAATAAAACTAGATTTTTAAAATTTTTATTTTAAATCATTTACCCTCCCTGTATCACACTGAGAGCCATTTCGGATCACCATTGGATCTGGAACTGATATAGGAAATCCGTAGTCCATAGTTACACATAAATAATTTCGCACAAAAGCATAAATCACAGCACAATCTTCTTTATGGATAGGAATTCGATTAGGGTAGGAACAAATTAATCTTCCACATATAAGGTCCCTGCAAATATAATAAAGCAATCTGAATATTATACTTCAAGAATATTTTATGAATGCTGTAGATCTTATTTAAAAAAAAAAAAAATTTTAAAGTAAAATCTGAAAGAAAGTATAAAGCTACTGGGCCAAACTTATTTTTCAGTGGTACTATTGTTGCTGTTAAGTGCCCTCAAGTCGGTTCCGATCCATAGCGATCCTGTATAGGATTTCCAAGGAGCAGTTGGTGAGCTTGAACTGCTGACCTTGCAATTCAAATGGCTTTGCAGTCTGGCACATTAACCCACAACGCCACACCATGATTCAGTGGTACTAATGGTCTTTTTTTTTTTCTGTCTTCTCCCCACAATTTAACAGCATGCCCAATTTATAAATAATTTCCTACATTCAACGTGTTTCGTACTCCATGCAATCCAAGTTAACATGTTTCATAAGTCATGGTGTTAACATAAATCTTGGGTTTGAGAGAGCACATTCCTAATGTGTACAGAGGTTCTGTGGCAAAACAACATGCCATATTAGAAAGTCCTTATGTCTTTCCATTGAGGGTCTGAAAACACAACAGAAAAGGTCTATAACTGAGGTTAAAGGGAAATGCAGTCACATTTTTATCTTGTGAGGGCCCTTCTTGGAGCCTCTTTAATTACTAAAGTTCCTAGTTCTGGCTGTCTGTATGGTGGTGGCTGTGTGCCATGGAGTCAGTTCTGACTCATAGCGACCCTATACAGGGTTCCGAGACTGTAAATCTTTACAGGAGCAGGAAGCCTCATCTTTCTCCCACGGAACAGCTGGTAGTTTTGAACTGCTGACCTTGTGGTTTGCAGCCCGATTCATAACCACTATGCTACCAGAGCTCCTTGGCTGCCTGTATAGTAAATATCATTTATCCTTCCCTTTCTTGTCAGCATAAAGTATTGCTAGCAGGATAGCTGAGTAATGATATGTGTATGTCCATGAGACCCTTCTCTCTGCAAGGTTCCTGTTCACAGGTTACTGTAAATCATGTTTCCCTGTTAATCAAGACTGGACAATGACAGTCTACAGTTATCATTTTGCATTTCTCCTTTTGAAAAGATTTATACTCGAATTCTATGATGGACTTTTGAAAACGTTATTCAGAATACTCTATTTATAATTTCTATTAAACATTTTAAGATGGCTCTTAAGTTTCTTCATAGGATTGAGTATACCAACTGACTCATTTCTGTTCATAGGAACTCATAATGTTAAATTAGAGAAAATATCTTTGGCTCAATAATACTGAAGGAAACATTCAAGAAAGAACTTTGACTAAATTTTTTCTAGATGCATCTTTTGCCAACACATTGCATAGAATGTTCCTGGTGATGGCAGTGGTTGTGTGCCACAAAGTTGTTTCTAATAATGACCCCTTATAGGGTTTCCCATGCTGCAGATATTTACAGGAGCAGAAAGTCTCATTTTTCTCCAATGGAGCGGCTACTAGATTCTAACTGCTGACCTTGCAGTTAGCAGCCTAAGTCATAATCCTCTCTGCTACCAGGGCTCCTTGGATGTTCCTAGTAAGTAAAAATTACTCTAAATTAAAATTGTCTCTGAAATTGATGAAAACTTAACAATGCTATCAGTGAAAGAGAGGAAGTTTACCTGTAATATAAAATAGGGAAGTGTTACTTTTGTCATGTCTACACTATACCTGAATTTATTTATTTAAAGCAATTCACTTCAAAGAAAAATCTTCCTAAGCAAGAATAATTACGAAATCACAGTCTTGATTTATTGATTATATATTTTCTAAGACATAAGGTAATAAAACAATCAGTACCTGCAATCACCACACATGCTAGTGCTACATTTGATACACTATTGTGAGCACTAACTTGCACATGACCCTATGTACAGCAGAACAAAACATATCCTCACAATTGCTGTTTGTGCCCATTGTTGCAGCCAGTACTAATGGTCTTTATTCACTGCGCAGATGAAATATTTTCTATTAAATAATAATTCAATGAACCTTTTTCTGAACATATACTATATGGTGGTGGTTACGTGCTATAGAATTGGTTCTGGCTCATAGTGATCCTGTTTAGGGTTTCCGAGGCTGTAAATCTCTATGGGAGCAGAAAGCCTCATCTTTATCCCACGAAACAGCTGGTAGTTTCAAACTACTGATCTAGAGGTTAGCAGCCCAACTCGTAAGCACTCAGCTACCAGAGTTCCTTTATACTTTATATTGTTGTTAAATGCTGTCGAGTCGATTTTGACTCATAGCCACCCTGTGTAGGGTTTCAGAGGAGCAACTGGTGAGCTTGAACTGCCGACCTTGCAGTTCAAACCAATTTTGCAATCTAGCACATTAACCCACACCACCACAAGATAAGTAAATTGTGATTCACACCCTCAAGGACTTTACAGTCTAATACTAAATTTGATACAAATCTCACTAATTAATATTGCAATTGAAATAAATCTTTATAGATATTTAAAATGAAGACATATGCTAACTTACAGTTAGGGAAAACATCATAGAAAATAGGCCACCTGAATAAAAGCCTAAATAGTAATAGGATTTTAACAAACATGATAAGGAATTTCTAAATAAAATAAAGTATCATAAACAAAACCAAAGAAGCATATACAAGGTATATTTAGCAGTGTATAAATTCAATGGATGCAATGGCCACCATGTTTTGCTAATTGGTAGTATCTAGCCCAGTGTCTGGCACATATAGGTTCTTAATAAGTGCTTAATATATACAAATGACCAAAATAGCAAACAGCTTACTCTCAGATGAAAGGGAAATTGAACTTCATTGCACAGATACTAGAAGTAAGTCTTCAGCTTGGGAAAACTGAATGGTGATACCATTTTTTATATTAAAAAAAAATAACAGGTTTGGACAAGAAAGGTACAGTGGATAGTCAAAGTTTCATTTGGACAGGTTTTAGATGCTTATTTATCGCCCACGGAGAAACGTTTTAAAAGAGTATAGAAACATTAGTCTGTAGCGCAAGAAAGGTATAAAGGATGGAGAGTTTGATTTGAGTTTTATTTTCATATACATGTGACACTTGAAACTATTGGAATGAATAATATATACTAAAGGGAGAGAAAGAGAGAAAAAAAAATAAACATAGAAGGAAAGTATCTTAAATATTTATATAACATACCTCCATGGGCAAAATGCATATCCATAGTTGTTCAGCCAACCACAGTTCCCAAATCTGTCACCTTGAGGTTGGATTTCTTCATAGCAAACAAATGGTGCATTTTTTGACCCTGTCAAAGTTAATAATAATGTATTTGGATTAAATACTTTTTATTTACCTCAATTTCCCCACATATTATGTTTCCTTTGTCTTCCTCACATAGTATGTGTTCACTTTCTCTTTTTAATGAGACCTGGCTGTACAGTGGGCTAAGTATTGGAATGTTAACCGCAATGTCAGTGATTCAAACTTATCAGCCACTCCACGGAGATTTACAGCCTCAGAAACCCTGCGGTAAAGTTTTACTCTGCCCGCCAGGGTGGCTGGCCATGAGTTGAAAATGACTCAGTGGTACTGGGTTGGGTTTGATTTTGTCTTTTTCTCTATTGTTATATAATTCAAAAATTTCCAAGTGAGGTTTAAAAAAAAAAAGGAAGTAATGCATGCAAATTCTGCCTTTTTCTTCTTGTCCAACCATTTCCATCAAAAAGATAATGGGAAGGAGAATTATAGACGTGTAAATCATGAGTAGGTTCTATGAAAGAAGGCAGTAGAGAGGTAACACACACAAAAAAGCTCTATTTGTTCACCTAGATTCAAAAAAGCAGGTCTGTAATACTTTACTGAAGAAACATCACTGTACCTCAGGAAATTTACACTCAGGGGACAAAATTTATTGACATAAATATTTGCCTATCTGCTTCATTACTCTAATAGCTTTTTATTACTATGTAAACAAATAGCAAACACTTGGCTGCTTGAGTGCTGTCAAGTTGCTTCCAAATCATAACAACCCTGTATAGGGTGGTTTCCAAGGCTGCACATCTTTATGGAAGCAGAAAGCCTCATCTTTCTCCCAAGAAGTACCTAGCTAATTCAAATTGCTGACCTGGTAATAAGGAGCCCAAGAGTAACCCACTTTGCCATCATGGCTCCTTAACATATACTTAGTGACTTAAAACAACATCCACTTATAATGTAGCAATTTCTGTAGCTCAGAAGTCCAGCAAGGCACAGGTGGGTTCTATGCTCAGTATTTCATAAGCCAAAATCAAGGTATTAGCTGGCGCTGCAGCATCTTCTGAGGCTGCATTCCTCTTTTGAATTCACTTGTAATAGGTTTTATTCAGGTTCTTTTAGTTGTACATCTGAGATCTATATTTTATTGATAGCTATCAACCAGGGATTGCTTTCAGCATCTAGTGACTGCCCTCAGGTCCTATGTGGCCCTTTCACACCATAACAATTTACTTCTTAAAAGTAAGCAAGGAAATCTCTGACTTCTCCCATCTTTTAAGGGTTCACATGATTAGTCAGACCCACCTTTTGATTACCTCAAAATCAAGTGATTACAGACCTTTATTACATTATCAAAATTTCCTCACCTTTACTAGGTAAACTGATCACAGCTAGGAACCTCCGTACACTCGGAAGTTTTTCCCAGCTCAAGGGGAAGGTATTATCCAAGACATGTGGTAGTGGTGGCTGGGTGCTGTGGAGTTGGTACTGACTCATAGCAACCTTGTTTAGGGTTTCCGAGGTTGTAAATCTTTATAGGAGCAGAAGCCTCATCTTTCTCCCATGGAGCTACTGGTAGATTCAAACTGCTAGCCTTGAAGTTAGCAGCCCAGTTTCTAATCCACTATGCTACTAGGGCCCCTTGTCGAAGACCTATACACCAGGGAAATCTTGGGTGTTATCTCAGAATTCTGCCTAGTACAATCACCATTTCAAGAATGACTCTAAGCCTAACTACCTTACCTACAAAAGTAAGATAATAGCCACCTCATTGAATTATTACGAGAATCCATGATGGTGATATTTATTTGCTCACCATTACCTCCCATCAAATTCATCTCCCTTTTAAACTTAGCTATCTCTTTCCATGATATGCATGTTTTTGTTTCTATGATTCTTCTTACGTATTTACCTTCCTTAGTTTTATGTCTTTTCACCTTTTCTAGACACTGGTTTAGCAAAGGAGCTGACAGACACATCAAGAAGACAGACAATGCTAGCTGTGGGTGTTCACAATGTTTAACCAGTTCAATTGTAAATCTGAGATACTATATAAGGAATGTCAATATAGAGCTTGTTAAAAACCAATAGATTACCCAGGGGAAATGAGAAATTGGAGTTCACTTTGGAGATGTTGTTAAGTGCTGTTGAGTCAGTTGTGACTCACAGCCACCCTACATAGGGTTTCAAAGGCTATAAATCTTTGTGGAGAAGAAAGCCTCATATTTCTCCCAGAGAGAAACTGGTGGACTCAAACTGCTGACCTTGAGGTTCATAGTCCAGTACTTACTTTATTGAGCCACCATGCTCCCCAATTTATAATGTAGAAAAAAATGTTTAGTAACAGAGTTGTCAAGTTAATTCTACTGAAAGTAGTGTTCTTCATCCAGCCCAAATTTTATTAATCTATTCTTGGTATTCGTAAGTACTGCTGAGCTCCAATAAACTTCTCCCTACAAAACCCACTTCCATTAGTATTAGTGTGAGTATAAACTTTCTTTCAGATCAGTTTTGGCTTTCCAAAGGAAGAAGTTTTTGTTGATTTTAATTACCATTGAATCAGCTCCAATTTATAACAACTTTATGTCTAACAGAATAGAAAGTCCAGTCCGGCACCATCTTTGTGTTTGAATTTGAGTCCATCATTGCATGTCACTGACGGTTTCCCCTCATCAGCACTTTACCACAGAATTGAATCAACACCAACTAAAAACAAATACTAAATGTGATGTCTTTGTCAAGCGAATGTTCTTTCTTGATAACATGCCCAAAGGAAGCAAAACAAAGTCTTGCCATCCTTGCTTCTAAGGAAAATTTATTTCTTTTAAACCTGATCTTTTGGTTCTTCTGGCAATCCACTGTATAGTCAATGTTCTTTGCTATCACCACAATTCAAAGACTTTAACTTTTTTATCTTCCTTTTTCACTGGCTACTTTCACATGCACATGAGGTCACTGAAAAGACCATAGTTTGGGTCAAGCACAGTTTTGCTATCAAACAGATACTTTTGCTTTTTAAAACTTCAAGCTCTTTTACCAAAGATTTTGTCAATGCAAGATACAGTTTGCTTTCTTGCTTCTTCAACAGATGTTGTTGATCCAAATAGATGAAATTTTTAACAACTTTGATTTTTTTTTCCATTTATCATTATGTTATTTGTCAGTCCAGTTGTGAAGATTTTCGTTTTCTTTACATTCTGAAACAATCCATACTGAAGGTTATAGACAAACAAGGTTGTGTTATCTGAATATCTCAGGTTGTAAATGGGTCTTCCTAGAATCCTGATGCCACTATATTTTTCATGCAGTCTAGTATCTAAAATTATTGATTTTGAATATAAATTGACTAAGTAAGGTGAAAGAATACAAGCATGCCATATGACTTCTGAATCATGAAATATCCCCTTGTGTTCAGATGATGGCCTCTTGATCCATGTACAGGTTCCACATGAGCACAATGAAGTGTTGTGGAATGTCTAGTCTTTGTAATATTATTCACAATTTGTTTTGATCCACATAGTCAATTGCCTTCACATAAATAAAACACAAGTAAGCATCTATCTGATATTTCTACTTCTGGGCAATATTTACCTGTCAACAACAATGACATTTCCTGTTCCATATGCTCTTCTGAATTTGGCTTGAATTTCTAGCAATCCCCCATTAATGTATGACTGCATGATATTTTGAATTATCTTCACCAAAAAGTTGTTAGCATCTGACATAATGATATTGTTTTATAATTCCCATATTCCACTTGATTGAATTTCTTTGAAGTGGGATTTCTTTGAATAAGAATTTCCTTGGTTAATTTGTATGCAGACTGCTCATCCTTTCTTTCCCATCTGTCTTAATATAGAAGCGCCACTGAAATTTGACTATGCATGAGTCACCCTGATGGTATTTGAAATATTGGTGGGAAATCTTCCAGCATAATAACAACATGCAAGCAACCACAGTACAACTAAAAACACTAAAAGATTCCACTTTGCAAATATGACGTCAAATGGATAATATTCTCTTCAATCCAGTATACTAGCTAACTCAGTAATATTAATTGTACTGCAACAGCCCAAAAAGTATATTTAGATGTTTTTGCCCATTATTAAATTATCTGATGTGAGATAAAATAGTGGATTCATTCTCATACATAGTTGTGCATGGCTGGTACTAGGGCAACAAATGTGAGTGTTTGAAAACAAAACAATAACTGGTGCAAAACAATTTTTTCTTTTCAAATTTTGTGTTGCTATTGAATTTAGTTTATTTTAACACATTTTGTACCAAAAAGGTTTCTTAAAATAATATATTCCAAAACATTAAATTTAAAAAAATTTTGCAGAAGGGAAACATGATAGCAATGAAAATAAATACAAAGTAACAAGATAGTTAATACTTCTGTATTGTTATGGTTTGAATTGTGCCCCCCAAAAATATGTTTTGTGAATCTTAACACTTATACCTGTGATCATTATCCCATTTGATAACTGGGAATCTTTATTACGTTAATGAGAATATATTGGTATAGGGTGTGTCTTAAATCAATCTCATCTGTGATATAAAAGAAATGTAACAGTCAAGCAAGAAAGCAAGGATGAAAGGAGATACTAAGCAACTTGAATATTACACAGCAGAGACTCAAAAGACCTAAGGACCTTTCCCTAGAACCAATAGAAGAAGAAAGTCTCCTGCTAGACCCAGTACATTAAATTCAATTTTCTAAACTCCCTGACTATGAAAAAATAAATTTCTGTTAGTTAAAGTCAACTATTTGAAGTATTTCTGTTATAGCAGTACTAATAATTAAGAACCACCACTCATCTGTCAGTTTGTCATACTGTGGTGGCTTGTGTATTGCTGTGATGCTGGAACCTATGCCAGTGGTATTTTTAAATACCAGCAGGGTCACCAATGGTGGACATGTTTCAGCAGAGTTGTCAAACTAAGAAAGGCTGGAATTTAAAAAAAGCAGACTACTTCTGAGTGCTTAGTCACTGAAAACCTTATGAACAGCAGTGAAGTATGGCTCAAATAGAGTGCTAGAAGATGAAA